TCGGTTCGTTAGTTTTTAAGTTACGGTAAGTTTACTTATAATTTTTAATTTTATTTAGTCTCTCGTGAAGTTGTCTCTCGCTTCGACTGTACTCTCTCTCTCTCTCTCTCTCTCTCTCTCTAAATAGCTTTGAATTTCAGCTTCATAATCTCTCTCTTTCTCTCTCTCTCTCTCTCTATCTCTCTATCAGGAACATGGAATTTGCTTGAGTAATCTCTTTCCATGTATTGGTTTTTTGTGCGATTGCTTGGAGAAAGGATTCAGTTGCCTTTCAGCTGCATCTTCTTTTATTCTCCTCTCTCTCTGATGTTTTGATTTCATCTGCATTTTTTTAATCTCTCTATGTCTTTCTCTCTATTCCCCACTCTCTGTCTGTTCAGGTCGAGTTAAAAACTATAGTTACTTTCAAGGTTACTGTTTTTGAGAAACAGGGTACCATCCGTCTTTTTGTTTCCCTTTCCTGCAATTCCATTATTTGGGTTGATCCATCCATTTTGAGTCCATAAGTTACATGTATTTGTTTCATGTGTTTTATCCAAGATTACCATTCTTGGATTTCTTCGTTTCTCAAAACTCCCTCCCTCTTTCTCTCAGTGGCTGTGCACATTTGACTTTTGTTCTTTATTTTAGCAATATACACTTTGTTCAATTGAGAAATATAGAAATACATGTTGCTTGTGTTGTTTTCCTGCTCTCCTTCTTTGTCTGTCTCCATACTGTGACTTTTCAATGATTTACACTCGAGAAATGTGAAAGAAATGTATTAATGTGACATTAGTTGTTCGAATCAGTTTTTTGCAATCTCTCTGTGTGTACATGTGTTTTCATACTATTGATTCATCATTTATCCCTTTTAACACATGTAATCTCCTCTATGGTTTTAGGTGTGATTGTGGACTGTGACAAGTTAGCTCCATGCGTTCATTTTCGTAGATTGCTGTTCAATATATTTTTGCCCAGTCTTTCTTGAACGAGATTGTTTTTCAGAGTAGTGGGATTTTGGTTTTGTAGGGCGTCATCTATCAACTTCATTTCCCAAAGAGCTTTTAATATATCTGGTTTTTGAGATGGATAGTCCTTTTTCGAGGCCCAAATCTTGCAGAACCGAAGTCCGAACATTGATATTGAGTCTAGTGATAATAGTCACTATTATATCAGTTTTTGAGTCTTTTACTTTCCCTCATGGAACTACTTTGTTGCTTCTGATTCCTGCGTTTAAGGTTCCTTTCATTGAATCTCTGAATTTCACATTCCGGAGTGTGGACTCTCCTCTAAATCTAGCGAAACTTCGAGAACTGCCCACTTTGAGAGATAATGTAACAACCAATACTGAACCCCAACTATCCTTAAACACACCTGAAGTACTTCACAAAGAGGAAGATCCCAAGCAATTCTGGACAACTGAAGTCAGCTCTGATAGAAAGTATCCAATTAAAGGTGCACCGAACAGCGAGGAAACAAAAAGAGACATTCATTCTGTTAAAGAATTGGCTTTTTCTCATCTACCTTTCTCATCATCAATTTCTCCTGTGAATGGGATATTGCCACTAAATCTGGCGGCGGAATCTCCAGTTATACCTGTTTCCTATGATTTCTCAGCAATAAGTGTAGAAGTGATAGAGGTCCACCCTAATAAAAGAAATTCTGAGCTTTTAGAAAATAACTCAGTGGTTTTCAGGAAGAACCCTACTGTAAATATAGCTCCATACAACAATCAAACAGTGGCAAAGGATAACTCCCATCTGGGCAACGGCCAATCGACTCCATTGATGCATGCTTCAAGGCGTAGACATGGTCGATATCGCTCAATGGTATGGATTTAAATCTTCTCTTTAGGCTTGAAGTTATTTGGACAAAGTATTGTTTATGCAATGAGCATTTTGATAGAGGCAAGTACTCAATGGACTTGCATTTGATATATCATTGAGGAGAAATGTAAGGTTTGTAATATTTGTTGGGGAAGTGTACCATAGTGAAATGGACTCTGAGAAGCACAGTCCTTTGGACCATCACCGTCTGAAGAAATGATGGGTGATAGAGTAGGATCCACCAATTGGGTTGTGCCCTGTTCTGGTCAGTCCTACTTCTCTCTTCACCACAGTGATGGTCCCAATGGGCCTGGGATATAAGTATATCATAGTACGGATTATAGTATGTTTTCTCTTATTTAATATCATTGGAGAAACTGTTTAGCTGAAGGACACAATTCAATTGGACTATACTATGTGTTTCCCTATCTTTCTTTTTCATTGAAAAGTGATTGATTTTGAATCTAGAACAAATCCATTTTGATCTTTATTGATTTTGATTTGTATGTCCTTATTTTTTTCTCTTACCCTCCATTAATGCTTGTTATTTTTGGTCTAGAAACACCGTTGGTCTTCTACACATGACCCAGATCTTCTCTATGCAAAAGAACAAATCCTGCATGCTCCTCTTGTGACGAAGGATCGGGATCTCTATGCTCCGGTATTTCGAAATTTATCCATCTTTAAAAGGTGTGATGGTTGACGATTTCTTTTCTCCTGTTCCTTGACTTATTTAAATGATGGAATGCCTGAACTTTTGCAAAACTTTTATTAGAGGATTTGGTTTTAACTTTCAAGTTTAGCTGAATACATCAAATATAAGTTGCATATTTTTGAAGCAGCTTTTCCCTGTTAAAGATTCATGTTGTCCATATTTCTGTAACATGTAAGATTAAACCTTTGCTCTTATTTGATGTGGCATTTAATGAACCTATTATTGGAGAAGTATTAGAATCCCTGTGTGTGTGTCTCTCTCTCTCTCTCAGTCAATACACTGGGTTCAAACCCACAAAGTAATTGTGTTCCAATTGAACTGATGTCTCAAACATCACTCTGTCTTTCATTATGGTTAATTTCCTTGTTTACTATTGAAGTTTGCTTTTTCTTCCAACATTGTGCTTTTATTTCTCTCTTCATAGCTGATATTATACACGCTACAACTGTCTGGGTTTAATTTGCTTGAACATCAATTTCTAATTTAGTTTCCTCAAGAATCATGACTGTTAACCATGACATAAGCAACTGTACTCAAGTACTCTGCATTTTTCAAGTTGCAGAAGCTACGAATTGATGGAACACATATTCAAGGTCTACATCTATCCAGAAGGGGAAAGACCCATTTTCCATAAGCCAGATCTAAAGGGAATATATTCCTCAGAGGGATGGTTCATGAAACTGATAGAGGGTAACGAACAATTTACAGTTAAGGATCCAAGGAAAGCTCACATGTTTTACTTGCCATATAGTTCCCGAATACTACAACAAGTCTTATATGTTCCAAATTCACATATACTAAGGCCTCTGGCTCTTTTCTTGAAGAACTATGTTGACATGATCGCTGCTAAATATCCATTTTGGAATAGAACTGGTGGAACAGATCATTTTCTTGTTGCCTGCCATGACTGGGTATGCTCACACAACCCTCTCTAACAAATACAGAAGTCAGGTTTTGAAAGCTTTTCCATTTTTAAAGATATGACTATAAGAGCTGATTAGGTTACCTTCTTTTGTTAGGACCCATTTTCTTGCTGTTTCTGTAGAAGGCATCTCTCTCTCTCTCTCTCACACACACACCACACCCCATACCACATACACTTTTCTTGTTCTTAGTTTTACAGAAAATATTCTCCAACTGCTCAATTGCCGTCTCTCTCTCTCACTCTCTCTCTCTCTCTTCTCTCCTCTCTCTCTCTCTCTGTAACAGCTTCTGAACCCATATTTTTGAACTCTCTATTTCTTCTTTCAATATTAAATTCCTTGTAACAACCCCTGCATTTTTTGCGCAGGGGGCTTACGAGACCAAGCTGCACCTTGAGCTCAGGAAAAATGCCATGAAAGCTCTCTGCAATGCTGATCTCTCAGAAGGCATATTCAAGCCAGGAAGGGACGTCTCTCTCCCCGAAACATTTGTAATCTCCTCACAGAACCCCACCAAAGACATTGGAGGTAAACCCATCTCTCAAAGATCGATTCTCGCCTTTTTTGCCGGAAAGTTACATGGCAGAGTGAGACCCATCTTATTAAAACACTGGGAAAACAAAGAATCTGATATGAAAATCTTTGGTCCAATGCCTTCTGGTCATCGGAGAAGGAGAGCATACATCGAGTACATGAAATCAAGTAAATATTGCATTTGCCCAATGGGTTATGAAGTTAATAGTCCTCGAATTGTAGAGGCAATTCACTATGAGTGTGTGCCTGTAATCATAGCTGATAATTTTGAGCTTCCTTTCAGTGAAGCACTGAAGTGGGATGAGTTTTCAGTGGTGGTTTTAGAGAGAGAAATACCAAGACTGAAGGAGATATTGTTGTCGATACCAGAAAGAAGGTATGCTTCAATGCAGGAAAATGTGAGAAGAGTGCAGAAGCATTTCTTATGGCACAACAAGCCCGTAAGATATGATATATTTCACATGATTTTACACTCCATTTGGTTTAACAGGGTGAATACCTTGTGGGCCTGAGAAGATGTGGATTCTGGGTTATTTTGAAGTGTAAAGTTTGATTTCTAGAGCGAGAAAGATTTTGAAGTGTAAGGTTTGATCTCTACATAGCCAGCAAGGGGTTATCTTACTTGGATAGAAGAAATGGAAAAGAAATCCAAGTTTTTCATTTCTTAGTTTTTCATGTTTCGTGAATGAGTGAGAGCTTTGGAAGAGTATATAATGATTCATCTTTTCAATGGTCAAGAGAAAGGTTTTCTCATTTGGAAAGACAAATGGAAGTATAGTAAGCGGCTTCTGAGTTTTCTCATGAATAATTTATCTCAGTTTGTAATCACATACAAGAGAGAGAGAGAAAGCTATCATGCCTAGATGAGAGAGAGGGAGAGGTTTTATGTACGGGGATTGTATATAACGAAACCATTTACTTTTTTTACATAAGGGGTCACAATTATTTACAACCATCCGATGTAAAATCTGGCAATTTGGATGTGTTACAAAGTTAGAGAAAATTTCTTTTAAACTTTGAGCTTGGTGAATAAAATAAATGTAACCACTCAAGTAGATCTATAAATATATGAAAATCTTGAAAATGGACGGTGTAAATAATATGTTATAAAATGCACAATTTTTGAGATTTAAAACCTTTTTATTTTTCATGGTCATACACCTCGATGTTGAGATGATTAATCAAAATTTCAAAATTAGAATTACCTTTTCCGATATATTTTTGAGGTATTATAAGGTTGCATCCTTATATAATCTGTAAAATGGATGCTCTATACTCGCATATTGTGGAAATGCGGTCCAAACCTCATCAAACAATTTTCCTGTCCCCATCTTTCTTATCTCTGCCCTAATAAACAATGTGTTGGCAGACAATAAAAGGAAAGTTTCTCTCGCTAGAAGAGGCCCACGCCTCCCATAGCCATTATTCTCAAGGCACCCTCCCTCTATCATTTAGGAATTCATAAAGGATATGATAGATATATTGTAATTGTTTATTGATTGCATAGGGGCTTTAATGATTGTATAGTCAATAATAATAATAATAAAATGGAGATCGCTACCAAAAAGATATGGAAATATTACCAAATAACTGTGACCTTTTATGACCGCGTTCTGCATTATCTTCAGCAGTATAATTTTGGATTTCTGGTCTCACTTAGAGAGAGAGAGTCCATGGTGCACCAATATAACAGCGTTGCACATGGAAAGAGAGACTTCTTGGTGCACCAATATAACAGCGTTACACCTGGTGAGACAGAGAGATAAGTTGGTAGAGAGAGAGAGGAGGGGGTATTTGTTTTTCCTTCATTCAAATGACAATGAGAGAGACCTTAGGGGAGAGTGTTGTGGGTTATTTTTCCATTCAAATGTGAATTGCACTAAACATTTTGCTAGACAATCCTAGTCTTCGCTATATAGAGCGATTAGTTGACCTCTTAGAAGAGAGAGGAAGAGAGAGATTTGGGTCATTATCATAGTTTTTTTAAAATTAATTAGGGTCGGCTCTATAAATTTTGATCTGATATTTTATATTTTGAAAAATCATATTTTGAGACCATAAATCTCTACATCTTATTTTATAGCTATGACCCTTAATAGAGTCTCTTGATAACAGAAAACTTGGCCCAATGGGTATTCAGCCAAAAGTTCAACCGTTCAAGTGATTGTTTGTTCAGTTAGTGGCTTTTATGCATTCTTTTGTTTCTCTCTCTCTCTAAAGGTCGCCCATGGGTGTTTCACTGAAAGCCAAAGTGGATATTTGCCACTCTCTCTCTCCTATATTTTTCTCTCTCATACCGACACGCATTTTTCCCTCCAGAAAATAGACGAAAAAGCTCATTTATGAGGGGGGGGGGAGTTTAGATAGAGGCGAGGCTCTAAACCATCAAATTGAATCCTATCTCAAAAATTTCATTAGAAGAGGTTGTTTTGATACCCAAATATCGTCAAATTAATCTCCCCCATCAAGGTGCATGGACATGAGAAACAAAAAAAAGATTTTAAGTTTTAGAAATAATGTATTTTGTAATGCATTTTTGAACCGTCAATTTTTAAGATTTTCAAGTTTTCACAGATCGGTCAATCTATACTATTTTTTAAAACTTTAAAATTTATAAAAAAAAATATATATATATTTTAAAACTATCACAAAGATTTTCAGTATTGAAACCACCTTTCTCGATACTATTTGAAGGTAGGTTCTAATTTGATTGTTTAGAGCCTGGGCTGTATACAAACCGCATCCTTTATCATCCTCCATTCCTTTTTGCAACCTCTCTAAAATTGGGCATCTCTGTCTTTTAAAGTAATGTTTTGGTTAAAATCTTCTCTCACTAAAAAGACACGTAATTAACCGTTTCGAACAAACTTCACTAAAACATATGGGGGTATTATAGTAAATTGAGTTCCTCACTGTAATATAAGTAAAAAACAGCTTTCAAGGAATTGCAGAGAATCCATGGCGGCTCAATCGTTGTGAGGTGATTCTAAACCCAAATTAGCTTGGAATGTAAGCCAACTTGTTGTAATAGTAACTGTATTCTGTTCTTTCATGGTAAATTTGAGCTTCTCAGAAGTAAAAATGGTGCATTATGAACTCATTTTCCTTTACTTTTCCATTTTGTGATCATTTTTGTTTTCCCCTGCAAGTACAGATAATTTTTTTTAGTTTTCCATGTAAAATATTCACTTTGATCTTTTCAAAAGTAGGAATGGTGATTATTAATGCATTTTCTCTTTGATTTTCCCCGTTTCTTGTTCATTTTTTGCATATGTATTACCTTTAAGTTTTCTGAATTTAATTATACTTAGATTGTTGATCTGTGGTGACTGAGATTTGTTTGGGAATTATTTATTCTCTGTTACATGAAGTTTTACTATATTTTCTTCTACCTAATAATCTATTTAGATTTTGATATGCATTCACTTAATCTTAATTTTCTTCTCTGGTTTTAATTTAGGCATTTTTTCAATGCTTATCTGCTTTCCTCCTTTTATGTATTTGGAAATTCAATGTGTTAAGTTTGTTTTAGATGGACATTATTTTCAGTTCATCTTTTGTTTATCTTTTAAATTGAGGTCTTTATGGGAGAATGTATCTGATTTGGAACTGGATTTATGATTTCATGAACTTTTGATTTTTGTAGTCTGATTTCAGGTGCAACTTTTTGTTTGTTTTTTAACTTTTTCCTTTTGTATTTGTTCCAGATTGCAGAGTAATTAATAATTATTATCTCTCTTGTTTCTTCTCTCTCTCTCTCTCTCTCTCTCTCTCTCTCTCTCTCTTCTCCCTGCCTGCTGGTTTTCAATGGATGTTGTATACCTCTTTTATACATGTAATTCATTTTGTTTTCTTCTCAAACTCATCTAGATTTAAGCTGACCTTTCTTTTTCGATTTCTATTTCTTTTTATTGGTTTTCTTAAAAGCTTTTGTAGCATTTTATCTGCCTTTATCATTCTTATATCTATTAACTTTTTTTTGGGATGACATGAACTAGATTCGTCTCTTTTGTTGTAGATTGCTTCTTCTTTTTTAACTATATTGTTTATTTCTCATAGTGATTTCTCTCCTCGTTTTTGACTTTGTTATGCAATGCAGATTGATTGATCAGTTCAAAAAATTAGGCTCTCTGGTGGTTTTTCTTTTGAAATGCAAGTTTACGCATTCCATTTTCATGGGCATATGAGATAATCTGTTTGTTGAAATGGAGTATAACCTCTGGGGCAACAGAAAATTTCACCTAGAATTGAAGAGTTTGATATTGTTCTTGTGGGTAACACTTCTCGTTGTATCACTCTTTAAGTGTTTCTCAGTTCCCCATGAACAGGCTATCTGGTTTCTATTGTCTTCTTTCAACGTTTCGCTGCACGTATCTGGGAATAACACCACACTGAATGCCACTTCTCCTCCAAATCAGATTAAAATAGGTGAAATCCCAAGTCTAGGTGATGGTTTGGTGAACATCACTGACCCATTAGTACCTTCATATAACGTCAAGATACCTGATATGGAAGAAGACCCTGAACCAGTGGAGAAAGTCTTAAATGACTCTCGTCAAGAGAATGCTACAATTAGTGGGGGAATGAGAGAGAAAAGAAAAGAGGAGAATCGTGTTTTGGATAAACAGTTTTCGCTATCCCCTCTTGGGTCACCTTTGTTGGATTCTTTCAAGAATGGGTTGGTGCCAACTAGTTCTCATAAACAGTTTTTGCTATCCCCTCTTGGATCACCTTTGTCTGATTCTTTCAAGAATGGGTCGGTGCCAACTAGTTCTCAACTGAATCCATTTTCCTTCAATTTATCTCAGTTGGGCGTACAAGTGACTAAAGATGTTCCCAAAAGTGAAATCTCTGAGCCTTTAGGAAATGGACCACCCATTTCTCAGCGCAATCTGACTATTGAGAGTGTTCCGCTCATTAAATATACAAAAGAAAAAGTTAGTGTTGTGCAGAAAAAAAATCCTATGGTTCAAAGCATGAGCCCTTCAAGTCTGAGTGGAAGTTCTTTTCGCCCCATGGTATGGTATTTCGAATCTTTAATTGTCTTATGATAATTTCATTGTTAATTTTTTCTTGGCTTGTAAATTGGGGTTTGGTAAGGTTCATGTCATGCATTACCTTGTCCGACAGAATGCTGTTAGTTTGAGAGAGCGACCACCTTATGCCCAGATAATCATACTAATGAAAATTATAGTGATAAAAAATTTGGCTGGGCAACAGTGTTGCATATGTTGAAAAAGCTGATGCAATGAGTGGAAAGCACAAAGCTACACGCATTTATTCTTTAGGCCACAAACAAATAGGATGGTGTGAGCACATCATAAATATTTTCACTCTTTACATTTTCCTAAATTAGCCATTTATTTTCCCTGTTCATTCATGTAATATTTATTTTCCTGTTCATTCATGTAACTCCTTTCCATATACTCTTGTGTACCATCTAATGATTGGTACTGGCATGCCTAATCACAATTTACTGGCCATAAAGAAAAAATGGAAAAGCTTCTGACTTTGTAATTTGCACAAGCTGTTTTCTCTGCACCAAGAAATGGAATTCTCGATTTGTCACTGCAAAAGGAAATTAAGTTGTGATTTTCATTAGAAAACCTGTTTAGTATGGTTAGATGGGTTGCAACATGGGATCAGTTGGGAAGCCTTTCGAATCCAGTAAATAGCAAATTTGATCCCTTCTGATTTTTTCATGTAATTTCAATATTTTTGGCCTGCTCTTGACTGCATTTGGGCCATGTGTAACTTTTGTTATTTGGTGTAGAAACCTCGTTGGTCCTCTCCACGTGACAAGGAGCTACTGTCTGCCAAAGAACAGATCCAGAATGCTCCTCTTGTGAAGAAGGATAGAGACCTCTACCCTCCAGTATTTCAAAATATCTCCATGTTTAAAAGGTGAAATTATTGAAGTACTTATTTAAGTTTTATAATGTGCATTGCCTTCTTAAGATCAATTTTTTCCCATCTTCACTCTAATGTTGGTCATGTTATAGGCAATAGAGTGATGCACTATTTTTTAGCTCACTCTATTCATAGTGCTTCAGTCTATATATATTTGTAATTTGGTAGGATTGGGGTTTGGGAAAGAATAGGTAATGTGTTGAGAGGAAAACTCAAATTATTTATTGATTTGGGGAAAGGGTTGAAAGGTCTAGTACCTGACCAAACTAGAGAAAGATAATGTAAAAAGGGTTTTGGTAAAAAGCTGCAGGAAACAAAAGTTTTTCAGAAACATGCCAAATATCCTAACTAAAATACTAAGGGCAAATATCCTAACTAAAATACTTAAGGGAGAAAACGCTATATTCCTATAAACACCACGAAAGCGCAACCATATAACCATAATGGTTTTCGGCAAATCCAAATGCTCTGACCAAACTTGACAACAAGGGAACTGGGAGAAGAAAGACTTTGAGATCTCAGTTGCTCTAATCACCGATGCCGTGACAAAAATTCAAAGGGAGGGACAAGTATCTCTTGTTCTATTGTTGATGGTGCGAACCATGTCAAAGATAGAATTCCATTATCTACCCTTGGTCCCTGACATATCATCATTTAAAAATCTTCTAACTCAGACCATAATGACCTTGTAAGGGTGTAATCTCAATACAAAACATAACAATGTAAACAATTAGAAATACAAAACATAACAATGTAAACAATGGCTATCTCTTACAGAGAAATCCTTACCACTAACTCTCCTGAGGATTTTTGTTTTTGTTTTTTTGTTAAGAAAGATGTATTTCAAGAAAGTGAGATTAATCGACACTGGACTACAGGAGCCTTTGAGTAGCACCTCTTTGTTGATTATGGCGATTGATGACTCGTATAGGAATTTTGTAGACTCATGCTGTTCTTTCTTGCATGGTAGTTCTTTGGCTGTAATCCAGTCATTGATGATTGGTGGGGCATCACTCCTTGTATAGGCTACATAAACAGGTCAGAGACGATGTGATGCATTATGTTATTCATCCTGTGCTCTGATTAGCTGCTTGCCTGAACAAGTCTTAAGAGATTTGCTGTGCTTCACCACAATATAGCTTTACAACAAATGAAATGTATTGCAGCCTCCAACTTTAGAGCACAGAATATGCAAGGCCTAACGCCTCTTTTAAGCACACTAAATCATTTCCTTATAGCAGACTAGGCTACTGCTAGATGAAAGTGATGTCGAATGCTCTTGGATTTGTTTAGAAACTAACATATATAGACTCCTCAAATCTTGCGGTTGGCCGTATCTTTCTTAATTACAGCTTCTGAAAATGTTGTGTCTCTAGGATATGTTGGCATGTTAATAATAGGGTGTTCTTGACCTTTCTTAACTTATAGATGGTTACACTTTGTCAACACAGTGGAGGGAGCAGTGAGCATATGTTCTCCTTCTAAAACCTCCATGTTTTTAGATATGGTTGGATCAGATTCTATTAATAAAATAATGGGAGAAAGAAATATAAATGCAATAACATAAAAAAATTGTATTAGTAGGTATTAGTAGGTTTAAGTATGAGAAGCCAGACTCTTTATATGGATAAAAGTCAGTATAACGATGTTCTGTACTCATTTCGAGACTGAAAAATCTAAGACAAATGCAAAATATTAGTAGGTTTTTTTTTTCATATGCTCATCAGACTCATCTATGGACAAGTAGGAACAAACTTTACAAAAAAACTACCTAAATGTCTAAATTTGATAACTTAATTGGATAGTGGTACATGCAACTGTAACACTGCTAAATTTTTCATCTATATTGACTTGGACCTGTTTTTTTTTTTTGATAATCTTGATTTGGTTCTGCTTACCAAGAAAGATGATTCTGATTTGGTTCTACTTATCAAAACGGATAATTTTGATTTGGTTTATTTATATTTCTTTCAATAACCCTTGTTCTAGTTTCCCACCATTGGTCTCGAATTCCTATATATTTTTGCAATTTGATTTGTCTGAAGTTCATGCATTTGCTCTCCGTTAACTTAAGAGCACTGTTTTGAGAAATGGCCTTGAAACACATTGCATCATGCAAGACATCTGATTGACGTTTTCCACATTTTCGCTCTTTAGGAGCTATGAATTAATGGAGCGCATGTTTAAGATCTACATCTACCAGGAGGGTGAAAAACCGATTTTCCACCAGCCATTGCTGACAGGAATATATGCCTCTGAGGGATGGTTTATGAAACTGATGGAGGCAAACAAGCAATTTGTTGTCAAGGATCCCAAATTAGCTCACATGTTCTACTTACCTTATAGTTCTCGCCAGCTTCAGATCACTTTATATGTTCCCAATACACATATGATGCAGCCTTTGTCACTTTATCTCAAGTACTATGTTGACATGATTGCTGAGAAGTATCCATTTTGGAACAGAACAGGTGGATCGGATCACTTTCTTGTTGCTTGCCATGATTGGGTATGGCTACCAGACTCCAGCTAAAAGATTTTGTGTTCTTTCTTCTTTTAATTCTCTGATAATTCAAATGGGACTTTATGTTCTAAAAGTTTTAATATTTTGATTTCCTAAAGTCAAAAGCTGAGCTGATTTTCTAAACTCAGACATAGGGATTTGAGTTTTGAAAATCAACTTGCTAGCGTGCTGTTTATTTGGGCACAGCCTTTGCATATACAATAAATCTTGAGACGGTCGTAATTTATCTAAACACCAGTAATTATCAGTATAAATATTTGTTTTAATATAATATTCTGCACTATTGGATGTTACGTAATAGTTATGAGAATTAATATTTGTTGTGGTATAATATGCAGTCGTATGTATAACCTTACTATCAAATCTAATTAAAATCCTTTATTGCTCTACATCAGTGTTTGAAAACATGGAATCGGGCTTGGACTTGTTGCGGTCCTAAGCCCAAGTCAGCCACTGACCTGGCTGAGTTGGAGGTTGGACTTGGCCGAGCCTCTGGGTGAAAAAACGCAGGACAGCAACTCCGCAAAACTTGCTCGAGTTTTGTACTTTTTCATCCTGACGTGGTCGGGTGTTGATTCCAATGACTCAGGCTAATCAGATCATGAGTCATCGGTTGTTAAATCGCTGCTTTATGAACCAAAAATAATCTTCATCTTATATAGGCAGTCAGAGCTTCATGCCATTTTCCAAATACACCCCTCATTTTTGTCTCTTATGCGAAGTAAGATATTGGTATTTTTAATATGCGGTCTACCAATACAATAAGAACAAAGTTTAATTTTCTATATCATATTCTCAAAGCTGAAATTTTTGTCATATTTTTATTTTTTTTAAAAAAATTATTTGTTTCACATTTTCTCATCTCAAGTTCCACTTTGGCTTTGAAAGAAGATCTCTTCCATGTCCAATTTTTCCTAATCAAGTGAAATATTGTTTTGTAACTGATAGTCTCTGTTTTTCACTCTGCTAGACTGAAACATGTTTGATCTGTGATTGATTCTAGAATTACAGCTGAGACCTTAAGCGATTAGACATCACTCTTCTTTTATCTCTCAAATTTTGTATTCGTGATATTCTCTCTTTCACTTTGCTAATCTTAAATAAAAATGTCTGATATCTGAGGGATCAAGAGAAGACCATAAGAAATCGCACATCATTCTTCCTCCCCCTCCCCCGAGAAATTTCATGTGATTTGGAATTTTAAAAAAAAAAAAAAAAAAAATTAAAATACGAAATGTAGTCGTGAACATTTGATCGGCTCAAATTCAATTTGAGCCATCAGCCCATAAGCTGATATGATATATATTAGATGTCAAATTGGATGGCTTGGGGTGAGTCAAAGATTTTTTTTTGGAACTTTGTGTCTAACCAATGATACTCTTACAACCAGCCGTTTTGAAATTTAAGAGA